AGATCCATAATAAAATAAGAGTATTACCCTGAAATTGATCTTGGTAGTTTGGGCTGTTTCAAAGACTGTTAAAGATCACTTTGTTTGCTTTAAAAACTGCCCATCATATTTTGGTATTAAAAAACATTTCCCTATTACCAAAGATAGAATTTTTAAAGTGTAATACATCTTTGATGTTATATGAATGCATGCAAAATGATCAGAACATGGTTTTACATGCAGTTGTCCTAAGATTGTCCTTCCAAGCTCAAAATTATCTGGTCTCTATATAGTTAGGTTCTTGGTAAGGTTGTTTTGAACATCCTCAACAGCAGTGTTAGAAGAAGCATCTCTAAGAATTTTTCTTAATTGCATAGCAACCATTATTTATCCAGAACTGATTTATTGGAAATCTATTACATTTTAGGCCTGGGGTAGTTCTGAGGGTAGATACAAATATAAATAAGATGCAGTTTCTTCTTTTATCAGGAAATATTTTTAGTTTAGCTGATGTAACAATGAATCTCAGTAATTTTTTCTCTTGGGGAGGTTTTGAAATTACTACTGGGATGATACTAGAAACACAATCAAACAGGGCTATTCAGCACCTAGTATGTGCAAAACACTATGACAGTTAAGAACTTCAGAGAGGATCAAGGTTTTGTCTTTGCTGTTAACAGGAGAAAGACAAGTTCAAGTAGACTGTAATAATAATAAGAGAAAAGTAATAGAAAGGACTGCAGGAACACAGTTCAGAAACTACAGATGAACAAAACAGGAAATGTAGGTGTGGCATGTTGTAATACTAGATACAAAATTATATATATAATTAATTACTGATTTATTATTTAATGATATAATCAATGTCATAAAGCTAGAACATACTTTGGAGATCAACAAAAGTGGGTTATAATTCTGACTCTGGCATAGAACATTTAATCTCTTTTAGCTCAGTTTCCATATCCATAAAATTTTCATGAGAATATCACCTTTGGTGTTGAAAAGATTAAATGAAGTAGCCAGTAGGCCTTCAATAAACAGAATTATTATATCTCTGTTTTTTGCTCTTTGGAGAAAACCCATTCACTGTGAGCAGTTCTACACAAAATATCCCCCTTGATCTGTCCATCCTCCATCCCCTCGGCTCCATCCCTAGTCCAGGCTACTGTCATTTCTCAACTGGGCCAGTGTGATGGCCTCTTCTAAGAGGCTTTCTCATATTCTTGCCTCCTTAAAATTTGCTGTCCATATAACTGCCAGAATGATTTTGTAAAAAATATAATTCAGATCACATGATTTCCTTACTTCAAACCCTTGATGATTAGGGGACATGAATCAAGCTTTGTATCACAACCCATATGCAGGGGCGGAGTTATGCTAAATATGAGAAAAAACTTGGGGAAACAGCACAGGAACAATGATTGACGTTTGTATCCATTTGCTCAGGCTCCCATAACTAAGAACCACAGGCTAGGTAGCTTAAACAACAGCAAGTTTATTTGTTTCAATTCTGGAAGCTCGGTGCCCAAAATCAAGGTGTCAGCAGGTGTTTGGTTTCTTGTAAGTCCTCTATCTTTTGCTTATGGATGGCATCCTTTCTCCATCTTTGCATAGTCTTTCTTCTGTGTGTTCCTGTCTCCTAACCTCCTCTTCTTATAAGGACACAACTCTCATTAGATTAAAGCCCACCTTAGTGACCTCATTTTAATTTAATTGTGTTTTTAAAAACCCTAACTCCACATACAGTCACATTCTGAGGTACGAGGGGTTAGGACTGCAATGTACAAATTTGGAAGAACCATGATTCTGCTCATAACAACCTCTTTGTGGGTCTCTCATCTGTCACTGTCATGTCTACAAGTTTTTTTCCTATGTAGTTTTAACGACTGTCATATAACATATATGATAAATATGGTGCTTAAAAGATGCCACCTTCAGAATGTGGGGTGAGTCTCTGTCCACACTCCCTAGTTTTTGTTCCATGTGGCGTTCATTTCTTTTCATTCTCTTCTTGACTTGCTTTGCTCCAACTCTGCTGGCCTTTTTCTGGTCCTTGAACATACTGAAATATTTTCTGCCTCCGAGACTTTCCCCCGAAGTTCTCTGTGCCTGGAATGTAATTATTTTGGCTCTTTCAATGGTTTATGCTTATCCCCCAGGTCTCAGTTTAAAAATCACTGATTGGAAGAATGGCTAAAAAGTCAACAGCGGCTTTCCCAGTCTCTCACACAATTACCAGTCTGTTTTGTGTCCTTTTGGATGACAGTATTCTTCCATTCAATTGATTTCTTTATTATACTCTGACTCCTCCAATATCACAGTAACACCATGAGGCAGGGAACTCACGAGTCTCCTTTACCACTGTTAGCACCAGTGCCTCGCGTGGAACTTGACACACCTCAAGTGCTCACCCAATAAATGTTTATTGAATGAACATCTGAATGAAATCACTTTACCAATCATATGATTTTAGGGTTTCATGCAATCTGAAAGATTTTGAAGGTCATATAAAGCAAACACTTAATAATGTCACAAATACCAATGTTGAAATTTTGAACACAAATGGAATCATTATAGTGCAAGAAGAATTAGTATTAACCCACACACCTTGAAATACATTTGTAAGGAAAAATATCATTGGCTTAATGCCTCCTTCTCCTACACTTTCCCCACCCCCATATAACACCTATAGTATTCATATTATGGCACAGGACCCAGTTTGGTACATAGTATTCTAAAAAACATAGCCCTGGCTGGCGTAGCTCAGTGGATGGAGCGCCGGCTGGGAACCAAAGTGTCCCAGGTTCGATTCCCAGCCAGGGTACATGCCTGGGTTGCAGGGCATAACCCCCAGCAACCGCACATTGATGTTTCTCTCTCTCTCTATCTCCCTCCCTTCCCTCTCTAAAAATAAATAAAATCTTTAAAAAAATAAAAATAAATAAAAAACAAATGCACACTCTCTGTAAACTAGAGTAAAATTAACATCATCATCTAGGAACCTATGAGACAAGCAAATAGTCAGGCCCCATCATGGACCTCTGTGATCAGCAAGCCTGGGGCAAGGTTGGCAATCTGCATTTTCACAGGGCAGCCAGGTGACTCTGATCCAGTAGGGTTTGAGAACCCCTCCCCTAAATCAATCTTCAAAGTAATTTTTAATTTTTCAAGAATCTTGTCAAACAGTCCAATTGTCTGGACATACTCAACTTTAATTGTCCTAAGTAACTTATCTCTTCTTGTCCTGACTCAGAGTGTGAAGCAGTGTTTTTAATACATTAGTAATTGTTCTTAAGAAACTAGCAGAATGATTATTTCCACTCTTGAACCACTCAGTAAAATCTCCATCTTCCGAGGTTCAACACACATCACCTGCTTCTGCTTCTCGGATCATTTATCTATGCCTGGAACAGTTTGGCCTTAATACGTTATTACTACTCTATTTTTGTTGTTTCAAATTGCTCATTCCATTAAAAATTCAATTAACTTCTCATGCTGTCTCTGTTTCCCAAAGATGTTATTTTTTAAAAATGAAAACTCATGACAGATCAGCCTGATCTATGCTTTTTCCCTGACTTTACTTCCTAAGGATATATTTTCCTTAGGATACTTATTCAAGAAAGAATTTTCTTGTTTTCCTTCAAAGTATTTTTCTTTCTATAGCTCAGTGTTCATCCTAAAGAGGGAGAAATAGTCTGATTCATTTTCACGAGGATAACTTCAGACCTAGGACATTAAACTATACCAGCTTCTCTGTCTTTTTTGGCATAAATCTATTTGCCCAAGCAGTATCCAGAGAGAGTAGCCCATCTCGATAGCAGACGTTATTCTATTGTAGTATGGAGTGTAGCCCCTGGTCATATGGTATTATAAACCATCATTTAAGGAAATGATGTTCAAGACGGCAACAAGTTTTCTCTTTATTAGTAATAAAAAGCTATATTACATATACTAATAACTGCTACTATTATGGAGCACATCATGTCCTAGAGACTGGGACAAGGGATTTACATATATTATTTCAGTTAATACTCATTAAAACATTTCCCTAGGAGGATAGATGACTTGGCCAAATTTAAACAATTAAAAAAGTTTTAGAACCACATTTGAATTCCAGAATTCCTGATTTTAAACATCATGCTAAGCCCAGATTGTGCAAATTTTCCTTTGTCTAAAATCTGCCTCAGCCCATGACTATGAGGCCAAACATACCCATACATGTGTTCCTTATTGAAGGAACAGTCTCATTTAAGTTTAGGAAGGAATTGTAGTAGTGGCCATTATCACAAGCAAAGAGAAGCTACTACTTAAATAGTACTTCCATGAAAGATTCTCTGTGTTCAGAGTCTCATATGAGCAGTTTCATTTGATTCTTATCTATGATCTCGCTTTATAAGCATGGTTGCTGCAATTGAGGGGTTAAGTAACTTGCCTGAGATCACACAGCTTTCAGGTGGCAGAGCATGAATAGATCTGATTTATAGGAGAGCTTGTCTCTGATCCCAGTCACCAGTGGATGGCCTGCCTATTGTTAAAGGTGACATGAATCATTTCTGTGCCTAAGTTATTTACCACTATTCTCAGCTGTCCAAAGATGCCCTTCTTACAGCCATTATGTTTTTTTCTCCTCCTTTCCTTATGACTTAGTTCCTTCTTTTTAAAAGTTCACTTCTTTACTGAAAGGCCAATCAGATGATGGGCTAAAAAAAATAACAAAGGCTAAAGCTTTTGTTCTCTGCACTGTCTGTCCTGACAGTGCCTGGGGGTGATGTATCTTTGGAGACACAATTTCCCGGTAAGTAATTGGTTATTTTGTTTTGTTTGCTTGTAAATAAACACTGCTTTCTAGTTTTGTTGTTCTTTTGTCTACTTTTTTTGTAAAGATGCACTATCTCACTGAAAAATTAAGATGCTTATAAAAATATGAAATTTGCCTGTATTTACTCTTGAATTATCAAAATCCATGTTACCTGTCAGATTGGCAATTACTTTTTCACACTTATTTACTTCATACCCGTTAGGTCCAGTTACAGAAGTAAAAACTGACATATACGTCACCAGCTTTGGACCTGTTTCTGATGTTGAAATGGTAGGTAGTTGGAAAATTTAATGTACTTTTTGAGGTTTAAAGAAAAAAGCAGAAAAGAAGGTAATTAGTATGTACTTTAGCTGAGTCACACAAAGTTAGAGCTAGAAAGTCAGAGAACAGCCAAATTAGACTCAGAGGTTTATAAGAAGTAAGACATTGAATTTGCATTTTAGCTTTAATGTTGGAGGTTTTTGGTTTGGTGTCGTACTCAACAAAGAAAAGAGCTTTCTTGTTACTAGTCTTCATGACACAATCTTGTGCGTAGTGGGTTTTTCCTAAGAAAATTGTTGAAGAGCATAAACTTAGTGCCTATTATTAATTTTGGATTGACCCTTTATATTATAGTACTAATTGCAGATAATGCTCCATGTTGGCTCAGTTGCTCCATGCTCCAACCCCACCAACCCCTCTTCTCCCTTGCTTTCTCTCGTGTTTAAAGAACTTAGAACGCCAAGCTCTAGTCCAGGTAAATTCATCCATTCAGTTGTGTTCTCTAACATTAAATATGTTTCATTTCAAGGTCCAATAGCCCACTTCATTTTTTTTCCCTTGCAGAGTCAAACCCTGGGCTCCTAGATGAATTTTCATAAATGTTATGAATGTGAAATTTCTTTTTCATATGTTTTACTGTGTCTTAAAGAGATGCTTACAGATTTATGATTTATTATGTAATGATATATGTTACATATTAACTAATTTTGTTACCAGGTCTAAAGTACAACTGTAATTACTTGGTGCTGGCAGTGTTATTAAATTATAGTTGTTATTTTTGAATGATTAATATGTATTATAATTTATCTAATAAGTGTGGAAGATTAAAGTATCAAGATGGAGATTACATGCTTTCATTGCTGAGAATACTTTTGTTCCATTGATTTAAGAAAATTTCTGCTGCTATTAATTTAATTCTAATTTGGGCAGTCTGTTTCATGAGTGGGAAAGAGGCTAACATTGAATGCATTTTTTGTACATTTATGTGTAATCGTCTGTGATTTGAATGTGTCATGAACTAATTTCCCTAGGAGTACACAATGGACGTGTTCTTCCGACAGACATGGATTGACAAAAGACTAAAATACGACGGGCCCATTGAAATTTTGAGATTGAATAACATGATGGTAACAAAAGTATGGACCCCTGACACTTTCTTCAGGAATGGGAAGAAATCTGTCTCACACAATATGACAGCCCCAAATAAGCTTTTTAGAATTATGAGAAATGGCACTATTTTATACACAATGAGGTAGTCGTTTTTTCCTTTTTCCCTTTTTATCTTTTCTTTCTCCCTCTCTCTCTCCCTTCCTGCCTTTCTGCCTACCCTCCTTCTTTCCTCATTTTCTTCATTTTTTGGATCTATAATTTTATTTTTAGAAAAAAGTTGATTCCAATTGTATTTTTCCATCATAGACTCACCATAAGTGCGGAGTGTCCCATGAGATTGGTGGATTTTCCTATGGATGGTCATGCATGCCCTTTGAAATTTGGCAGTTGTAAGTTACAATAAAAATGTTGTTAGAATTAATTACTATCTCATGTAAGCTGATAATTATATATTTGCATGTTTTTCCTTAATCCAACATTTAAATTTTTGTCCATGACAACAACTGTCCAAAATTTGACTTTTAGGAGATTGTTGGTTATCTAATATATTTAAATAAAAAAATAAAAACAATCCCCCCCCCAAAAAAACCTTAGCTCTATAGATAGCCTAGATAGACTGATTGACTCATAAATAATAGGTTAATCATCAGTGGTGGAGTTTAGGGAACTCGGAGCTCCTTGGTTGGTGGTGTAACATAGCAAGTATAAATAATTTTGCTCATTTTGTTTTGTTCTGTCACAAGCAGAGTCCTTTATGGCCGAGTTGAAAAAAAAAAAGGCCAAAGAACATTCAGGGCCTCTTGACATAACATAGATTAGAATAATATAAGCAGCATTGTTAGTTTCAAAGTGGCTGAAGCATGACAAAAGCATAGTAGACATGTGGTCTGATTTGTAGACAGAACCAGGCAACAGAGTGCCTTCGGAAGGTTTAAATAAGGGATATGGCTTCTGTGACTGACATGTCCCAGTTTCACACCAGCTCTTCTATGGAGAATGGATTGTGGAGAGGCTAGAGCAGAAGCTGAGAAGAGTTGGAGGCTATTGATTTAGTACAAAGATGGCGGTGGCTTAGACCCCCATAGCACTAGAGCAGAAGCTGGGAGATAGACGAATTTGGTGCATATTGTGGGGGTGAAGCCAAGGGGGTGAAATGAACTTGTAAGAAAGAATATGGAATTCCTTTCCCCTAACCACCCTTCTCTGAGATGGCAGCAAAATTTGATTGCCTCTTCTAATGTCTGCCTCAAATACTTGGTTTAATCAGAATCTGCCAAAAATAGATGCTGGTTTTTACTATTGCTTCAGATTCTTAGTCGCACTGATTGTGAAACTTGCCTGCTGTTATCATTGCTCACTGCTTAACTTAATGGGAATCAGCAGTCAGCAGTCTTTTTATAACCTCTGGTAAGCACAGTATTCATGGGGTAACTTGAAGCTAAAGAGTCACTTACTCCCTGACCAGTGACTTTCTGAGAGAAGATAAAAACAGAAAACACATATACAGAAAGGTGATCTCTCTAGGGCCAAAATTAAAATCCATTTGTGCTATCATAATTTGGATTTCACCCAGATAGTTCTTATCTAGGATTTTATCTTCCCCACTATTTTCCTCTCACTCTCCCTGCCCCCTTCCATCCCCAGTCCTGGTAGGAAGCACTCTTCAGGGTGATTTTAAAATAGTTCGTGTTCAATAAAGACAAGCTCAAAGAAGGAAATTAATTACTCCTTGCAAGGTGATGTTTAGGGTCTGGGAATTAAAGTGAGGGGTACATATTTTGATCACCTTCACCCATTTCACCCACCCCCATCCCCAACCTCAAATATTGAATTATTAAGAAAAAGATTATTCTAGCAAGGTAGGCTAGGCCAGAGAAGGCCACCTGATTTAAAATATCATGGGCAGGAACATAGTATTTGGGGACCTTAAAGGTATGATTAAGCATGAATATACTTCAGGAGGTCAATGGTCACACACAACTGTACACTGCTGAATTACAACATAGGCCTCACAGTTTGTTTTGCTAAGTCATCTGTAAAAATAGTTTCCATAGGTATCAACTCCTTTTGTAGAATTAAACAATTCCACTGAGGACCTACTGTGCTCCAGCCATTTTAGGGAGATTTGTGGAGGGTAGTATACAACTTACCTTCGTTCTTTTGAACTTACTTGTGTGTGAGCCAGGCTCTCTGTTCTGGGTAGACTGGTAAGCAAACAGTTGGTGTCCATTTGCATTGAACATGGAATAACAGAAAATGGCCTTAAATTGCTGCTGGGAGGGATGGCTAAAGATGGAAGGGAAAATGTCCTGATTGTAAGGGTTCAAAGGTAGTGGAACTGGTTGTGTCATTATATTCCCTGGAGAGCTTTACACACAGCATAGCCAGTTGTCACTGTAACACCATTCTCAAATAGCATGGGTATTGCCCAAAGGCAGAGTCTGGAATAGGTGACTCCTGCAGAACTTTCCCAGCAGTAGAACTTATTTTTGTTGTTGTTGTTGTTGTTGTTGTTGTTGTTGTTGTTTTATTATAGACAGCATTTCATATGTTTCTATGTAGCAGAGCTGAATTAGAATTGAAGAAGTTAATATTGTTGAAGCCCTGGAAGTGAGTTAGAATGCAAATAAGTAGTGGCTTGACTGCTTTTTTTTGGGGGGGGGGGGGGGTATTATTTCTGCTTTCAACTGCTTACTGTATGGAAACGTATCCATATGCATGGATGAAGGTATAGCATTTTAGTTGCTTTAGTTTCTCCAATTTTTGGGCTTAAAAACAAGAAATATGTAAAGCTGTTTATTTAATCTCTTCAGTATTCTAAATCTTAAACATGTTGAAATAAATCATAATAATTATTGTTTTCATTTATTCCACCTTTCTTGAACAAGTATAATATTCTTAGAGTGTTGTCCATCTCTCAGTGCTGATGACAAAGGAACACTGACTGTCACCACATGTTGTGCTCTTATTCAGATGCTTACCCGAAGAGCGAGATGATTTATACCTGGACAAAAGGTCCTGAGAAATCAGTGGAAGTTCCGAAGGAGTCCTCCAGCTTAGTTCAGTACGACTTGATCGGGCAAACTGTATCAAGTGAAACCATCAAATCCATTACGGGTGAGATGTTTAATGATTAAAGCCAACATGTTGCTTAGCATTAGCAATGGAGTTTTGTCCTAGCTTTTTCATGCCAAAATCTAGCAGGGGTGTCCAACCTGTGGCCTGTGGGCCGCATGCAGCTCAGGATAGCTATGAATGTGGCCCCACACAAAATCGTAACTTTACTTAAAACATTATGAGATTTTTTTTGTGATTACATGTCTCAATGTATTTAATGTGTTGCCCAAGACAACTTTTCTTCCAGTGTGGCCCAGATACATTGAAAGGTTGGACACCACTGGTAATGCTTTCATGGGACGACAGAAAGTTTCAGAAGTAGAAGTAACTGCATAAATCACAGTTCAGAATTTTTAAATTTATACTTATAATCTTAGATTAAAATAAATTCTGAATTACTTAGGTGTGAGTTAGTTTTCTTCAGAAAAAATCAGTAGTCAATTCTATTAAAATTATTTTCAACAGAATTCTGAGACAGGAAGTTTCACCAACTGATTTTTGGACACTAGGTTTTCTTCTTCCTGTAGCGCTTTTCCAAAATCTTTTTTTTTTAATTTTGCTTTACAAAAGTAAAAGCAAAATATAAACTTAGTTATAAAATACATTAAGGGTAAATGTTAAAGCTGTCACATGGGTGGATGGATGATTATCATTGATAATTCTTAGTCTAATTTGATTTTAAAATGTGAATGGAAAGAATTAAAGGATTTAATTTCTGCCCCATTTAATGGGAAAAGTTGGCTGATTATTGTTTGTTCTGAAAGTATTTCTTTCATATACGATATTGCTAGGAAAAAAGTAGTTTTTGAAAACATTCAATTATTAGCTTGCAAGTGAGATGGAAAACAAGTGGGAGTTGAGACTTGTGACTCTCGGGTTGTATGGTCTGAGAATGAAGCTACCGACTGCTAAGTCACTCCCTTAATATATTCCCTTTAGATTTAACATTAAACATATTTAACAACAACTACCAGGAATCTTATGGTTTGTTTTTCTTATTAGCTTTTTAGATTTTTATCTAAGTACCAACAAAACATTCTTGAATTTGGGGATGTTATACAGAGCCCAGCACAAATAACGCCCCTTTTTATTACAAAATCATAAGCATGCAATTCTGTAACATAACACTATAACACTAAAGCATACCATATGACATTGTAGGTGAAATATTCAAATTAAAAGTATAAATTATTATACCTGTATTATTACCCTACCAACCACACTCAAGCAGGCCTTATTTCTGCTGGACCCTGCATGTGGCTCTGTGTTATACATGTCTCTTTTTATTTTTCCTTTATATGAATAACATTTATAAATGCAGCTTTTCCCCAAAATTAAGTCAGAAAGGCAGCATATGTGTATATTTAATGTATATATGTGTATTTCAATTTTTTTAAAAATTAAGCTTTATGTGTGTGTATATATCCATTTCTACAGATTTTTGATAAAAGATTAAAATTTCTCTCAAAAGATGCTGAAAATGAATGCTAATTTTTTCCACATTACTAGACCTTTAAAATAAGGAGCACTGTGAGAACTTTTAAAAAATTATAACTTACTTTCTTAAATTGCTTAATCACTATGTAGAACATATTTTTCCATGTCTGTTTGCTGTGTACAACAGATCCTCTCTTTGCCGGGAATGCATATTTCGTTAGCCTGGAATATGAGTATGATGCCATTGAATAACTGGCTGCAGAACCAGTAACACATTTTCGTCATGTTTTATTCGTAGGTGAATATATTGTTATGACAGTTTACTTCCACCTCAGACGGAAGATGGGTTATTTTATGATTCAGACGTACATTCCATGTATCATGACAGTGATTCTTTCGCAAGTTTCCTTCTGGATAAATAAGGAATCAGTTCCAGCTAGGACTGTATTTGGTAATTGCAATTCATTTCTTGGGTATTTTTGTTCGCATTACATTTTGCTTGTGATTTCATGGGAATAACTCTTAGATATCATTTCTAAGAAAATATCAAATAGTAATATATCAGGCTATGCTGAGTAAAGAATCATATAAGCTTTCATTTTTTTATCTAGCCAATACAAAATAATAAGGCTTGAGGGGATATGGGCAATTCGTTCCTTCCTCTGGGGCAGTTTCCTCTTACTGAGACCAGGCGGTAAAGACCAAGTGTGAATCTGGATATAATTTCACTGTTGGTGGTGGTCTTGGGCTCCTAGCCTAATGCTGTGTAACTGAATTAAAGTTATATGTGGTTATTAAAATAAAATATACTGGGAGCTTAAAATAAAACAAATAAAATTCATGCCTGAATGAATATGAAAGCCAAGAATCATTTGCTTTTTAATGAACAAGAACAAAAGGTTTAAATGTATTGAGTTGGATTGTATTATATGCTTACCTTATTAGCTCTTTATTATGTTCTATCTACATTTTTTTCCTGAACACAACATATATTTTTTTATTTTTACAGTGGCTTTTCATATATTATATTCTAAACTATATGAAGTCCAGAACACACAAATTTTAAATTTTTATAGCTGTTAAATAAGTCTTTTACATATCAGTTGGGCTTTTAAATAAAATTAGTTATGCCATTTATTTGATTGAATATATTTCTCAATTTTTTTCCTATTGATTGTGAGTTGCAAAATCATTCAGTAGTGGTATGAAAAGGAAAGCAATCAGAATTTCTCTGGGATGGAGGTGCAGTTCTCACAAGAGATATCTATCCATCTTCCCCTGCTTGTTCTGTTTGGTAGGATAAAAGCCAAGGTGTAATAGCCCTTATCACAAAGAGCGGAAGGGGTGCTTGTAATAAGGAACTAGGGAGGGTAGTGGAAGTTTCTCATCCCTCATCCCCATCCTGTTAGAGAACTGATAAAAATGTTATCTTGGTATCTTCAGTGGACTTGAGTGTGGGGATATTTTCCATAGACAGCCCCCAACACACACATACTTTTTATCATAGAAAAGATGTTAAAATAGTACTGATAAAACGCACAGAAGGGTCAGCTGGGGGAAAGGCAGGATATGACCTTAGGAAGGCGGTGAGCATGTGTAATGGCATAAACTACCTCACAGAGTTGTGAGATTTCACTTAGGGAATAACAGCACATTATAGGTGTTGAATAAATTTTAACTATGAAAAATAGGTGTGAAAGAGAGAAAACAACAAATCTAAGTTTTGGGCTACAATGGGTTGGGATTTAAAACTTGAATAGGTTACTTATTTTCTTTATCCATAAAATTGTGAAAACACATCTCTTCTTCACAGACCAGTGAGAATTTAGATTTAGTGCAGGAATCGCACCGGGCACACTTAGACCATGTTAGTGACTCTCCCATACCTCTCGTATGTAGGGGCGGTTAATTTTGTACTGACTTGATTTCCTTGGCTTGTTATTGTTTTTAAAGAAAACATTGTTCTATTGTGTGGTAACAGCACTGGGCTAAGTTATCGCATTTATCTCACTTAGTGCTCACACTAACCTTTGTACACTTTACGTTCAGAAGTGGCCTGACTGGACAGGAAGTATCTGCTGAGGCTGGACACCAGATCAAAGTCCCTTACCTGCTCTGCAAATAATATTAACATTTCAGGAAATATAGTCATTAAAAAGTAAAAATAAAATCACTTGTATACATATTATCATTTTTCTATGGTTTTAAAGAACTCCTGGGACAGAAAATACTGACCTATTATTATTAGGTGCCTCTGTTGAAGAGGTGGTAGTGTCATAGAGTCGACTCTGGGGCCAGGCAGCCTAGGTTCTAATAATAGTCTGCCTATTATTAGCTGTGAACCTTATTAGCTGTGAACCTTATTAGCTATGAACCTCCAATGCATTACTTCTGCTTGTTTCCTCATGTGTTAAAACAGGATGAAATCCTCAGGGTTGCCATGTGGATTGAGTTAATTTGGATAAAGCACTCAGAACATTGCCTACGACACAGTGAATATTATTTACCTTCATTTGAGAATTACTGCTTGATGCTATAATGTGAATGTTCTCTGTATTTTGTCACTACCTGATAAGTTTTTAATGTTTTCTTGGTTGGCTACAAACTGGTAGCCACTGTTTGGCCTCACATACTCCCAAACAGTAGAAATGTCCAGTGCTGTGGGGAGGGATCACCTTGATTATGACTGTACCTACCCAACATTTTCTATCCAGAGAAGACACTGTAAGAAAATTCATCAGTATATATTAAGGATACTGGTAATACTACTAATAATGATTGTAAGATTTATCATATTCTGATAGGGGTCATCTTATTTCATCTTTACAATAACTCAGTGAGGTAGGTGTTATTAATATATATGAATCAGCAAAATGACTCAAATAGATTAAGGAACTTGTACAAAGTTACATACTTAAAAGTGATGGACCCAAGACAATTTCTTTCTAACTTTGGGAATTTTGCCATTTCTCCTGTTGACATTTGACCTTCATATGAAGATATGGGGGCTTGTGAAAAATTTCAGAGCTGCTGGGTGAGAGTGTGTGGATATGCCTCGAGGGTAATTTGTGGGCAGCTTTTTCAATTAGAAATGTGACATTTGCCTCTGCCTTGTGCTCATGTGCCAAGACACATTGGTTTTGATTGACCAGGTAAATTATGCCCAACAAATAAGTCTTCCAAAAACCAAGATGTGTCAAAATGGTAATAATTAGACTGTTCAATGAGGTTCTAGGATGGTATTTTCCTAAGAAAGTTAAGTTTTAAGTATTTGAGGGGCATTAGCAATCTATTTCATATGAGAGTTAGGTAAAAAATAAATTTTGTGCTGGTATTTATCTTCCCTCATTCTTGTTTTCCTCTTTATTCAAGAAGAGAATTTACTGGGTCAGGTATACACTAGAGATCATGCAAAAGAAAAACTAAAAAAAAAGTCAATTTAAGTATGAAAACTAGAGTGAGTTAAATTCTCTCCAAGGGCCTTCTATATCCAAAGTCGTATACCTCCAAGCTTTCTAATTATTCTAGTATAGTAAAACATTAAATCTGAGTAAATGCCAACTGGCATATCTAAATCATTCCTAGTTCATTTTTCTAGGAGTGGGCAGCAAGAATTTTATACTTGTGTACAGCATTAACCTACTCTTACATGTCCTCTCCAAGCTCCTGGGCCAACCAATATGGTGCATATTTAGCATTCTAAAAACAGGAACTGTCATTGATACTTGAATGTGTCAAAAATATTCTGTGGTTATTGAAATGTGTTCAAGGGTAAGTGCCAGCTAAGCCATTTAAACAGATGCACTGTCTTCCTCGATGTAGCGGGGAATCCATGGCTTCTTATTTGAAGGGCTGGCTTCTGTTTGTTATTCCGTTGGTATTTATTTGACCAAATGCCCCACCTAAACAGGTAGAATAAGAACATCCCTGTCACACTAGGAGTTCTTTAAATTTGAACTCCAGGCAGAGAGAACTTTTTAATGTTTAAAGGGATGGGCGCTTCAAATACTTAGTCAGTTGTTTATGCCAGTTATTTTCCCAATTTTGCCAACAGTCATAAAATATAAACTATAAACTTTACACACTTTACTTTAAAAACTTTAAAATCAAGTTGATTCAAAATAAAGAGAATAGAAAGTGGCCACAGAATCAACATTTTTTTGCATTGATGTCTATAGCATCATTTAACATTTTCATAAACTTGGTGACCTACTCCTTGGTGATCTACCCCTTAACAGAAAGTAATTTTTGGATTCATAGCTCAGTATGCTGCTTACGTGAATTAATAAGGTAATGAGGACTAACCATATGATAGCAGGAGAAGATGAAGAGTACTATTTTTGGTCCTCAGGATAAACCATTCTATTGCAAAAGAAATAAAATGTGCAAAGCAACATTTCAAAGTTGCTTATATATGATTTTGGTGTTTTTTTTGTTTTGTTTTGTTATTACAGCATTATGGTCTTTGTAGAATTTTTTGAGTTATTGTTAGTATTCTTTATTTAAACTGTACTCTTCAAAATTTATTTCCAAGTACTTTCAGTATACTATCTATAATATTAGAATAAATATACCTAAGAAAGTTGTCGAATATACTTGAATACTTAATAGGCCATTAAACTTAACATATTAAGAGTAAGAAAAAAACTGATTTATCTTCAAACTTTGTAGCTAAAATTTTTCAAAATTAATTTAGGGTTTATTCAATAATCTAGCCAGTATGGGAATGGTGTCATTTTTTTTTTCTGAGATTTTAAAAGGAGGTCTTACCTTTGTAAGGTCTTTTTCTGACATAAAGTCCAATAAATTCATAATACTGCATTTTCATAGAGATTTAGGTATCTGTACATTTCATCAAATAAATGTTTTAAAATCTATTTTATACTAATAATGCTAAAAAATCACAGAATATTTTTAAAGAAGGAATACAACCAAATTCTCAAATTCCATTCATTGTATAGTGTATAAAATATTTTAAGATCTATAGCTTATATGGTGTACAGTTGCTCTAATTTTTCATGTTCTAAACATTGACAATTTGAAAGGGACTGGAGAGAAAATGGATTGGTGAGAAGCTGAAAAAAAATGAGGTTTTATTTACTGTGCATTTATCATGTGCCTGGCACTATGTAATATATTATGGTAAATTTTGAAGCAATGTTTGACACTTGCTTTCAAAGAGGCTATGCCCAATGAAGTTGTGGAAACAAAGCTTATGTGCATGGAACAATTAGGAAACATAAAGCAGACTATAATGCTGAGCTGAGAAGACAATATGATCTCTACCTAAATCAAAATATTATTTCTTTATTGTTGCATGAGGCTCCTAATCTCTTCAGTTTAACATATGGATTTCAGTGAGGGATAGCCATGGAGTGGAATACATAGTTTAGATGCCTTCATTAGCATTCTTGTTGTCATCATTATCATCATCATCATCACCAAACAATTAAGGATCAATCATAGGCATTATATAGAATGCATTTAAATGAAAATAGTAAATTCCCACAAAAATTTCCAAGATTAACTATGTAATATGGATTAGATATAAAGGTAGACAAAAGTAGACATCTTTAATACTTCATTTCTCTAGAGTACCAAGGGAAACTGGAACTTTTCCATTGAGAATGAGAACTAACCTTTTCCCCAGGCTGAGGAAGACTTTCTTGGAGGTGATATACTTCAGAAGTCTACTTATGGAAGAAAAATGCCTCTATTCTTGTTGTAAATATTTTCCTTCCACCATATATTGATGATTAATATATGTCTAATATTTTTAAAGCCAAGTTGTTCTAGAAATCTACTTTTCCAAGAGTATACCTTTATTGTTTTATATAAACTAAGGTCTTTTACAACTAGTAAATTATCTTAATTCAATAGGTAATATTGGTTAAAGGTTATACGTGTCTACAACTTGTGCTTTTTCTGGTACTAATGCTCAGTAGCAGGTGGGCCATGTCTACCACAGGAATTCTGATGCTCTCTGACTTTTCATGCTTCCAACTTTTCACTCCTAGTTGAGAATCAATATTTCACTGAGTAGCACTTCCTGTAAAGTGTATGTGTTGAGTTTCTTGGGTATGTTGGCTCAGATGCAATATATGCTAGGTGCTTTGCATACTTTTAATCATTATGGCAAACTCAACAGATAGATAGCAAATGAAGCCCAGTGAGTTTTCATAACAATCCAAGTCACAATGGAAAAGCCCATACAAATTCTACTGAGCCACTAGGATTAAAATCCTCCATCAGGATGATTTAGTTTGAATTATAAAGTCTGTTACCCCAACCACCACAACCAAATGCCGAGATTTGTTTGTTTGCTTGTTTTTACATAGAAGTAATGGTAAAGTATTTTGTCTCTTTGCTCTTTTGCTTTGAAGGAATAACCACAGTCCTCACCATGACCACATTGAGCATCAGTGCACGGCATTCTTTGCCTAAAGTGTCCTATGCTACTGCCATGGATTGGTTCATAGCTGTCTGCTTTGCTTTTGTATTTTCTGCCCTTATCGAGTTTGCTGCTGTCAATTATTTTACCAATGTTCAAATGGAAAAAGCCAAAAAGAAGAAATCAAAAGCCCTCCAGGAAATTCCCGCTGGTCCAGCGCCAAAAGAAAAGCATCCTGAAGCACCTCTGCAGGTATTTGACTTAATCTTCTTCAATTTAGAATTTGAATTTTTTGGTCAAATTTACATGGCCAAGTGAAAAATGAGAACTTGAAAATGCCAATTTGTAAGTCATTTAAAAATCCAGGAACATATGAAATGGTAATTGTAAGTTTAAAATTTAAAACTGTGATTAATGGTTTAAGAATTAAACAGCTTTGGATTAGCCAGAGAGTGCTGGTTGTTTGGAAGTTCTTTTCAAAATCAAAAGTTTTTGACAGAAAAGGGCAACATCTTCTGTATACTAATTGGAGGGACCTATGTATATCTTTGAGTGGGTTGGAAATGTGTTTTAGTAGAGTTCATTTGTTGTGGATGGATATTAGGCTCTTCCATGAGACAGTGATGAAAGCATTCCAAAGACCCCCACACAGGAGATTGTGGGGTGGCAAAACCATTTATTCATGTGGAAGCCTGCCCTTGGGTTTCTAATGCACCATCTCTCTCCATCCTACCATGGTAAATCAGGGCCAAAAATAGAGTCAATGCCCAGATGTCCTGTGCCATGCCAAGGCTAGTTCAGCCCAGTCCCTCTCATCATCCACTTAGCTTAGCTTGCATTCCTGGCTGCCATCTGTTGCTGTGCTGAGGTATTCAGGCTCCTGCCTGGAACCTGCATGTGGAGCTTACAGCCATCGGCCACCAGGCTGCTAAAGCCACATGGCTGTGGAGAGAGGATGTGCAAGTCACAGGCCACGTACTGGTCATGAGCAAGAGAGAGAACATTTTGCTCTCCTGAAATTGTATTAGCTTGGGTTTGGGATGGACCAGGTGCTTTATAAATACACAATACATTTTCCAAATTTTTATGGGTTTTTGATAGGCCTCCTTCCTAGTTACACTGACAAGCCTCTTTGGTCCAACACCTCTTCCTGTGCCCCCCAACATTCTGGTAATGGAAAGGGAGAAGCATTAATCCCCTTGGCGAGTGTGAAGCTGTAGCTTCCTGGTGACCGAACAGACTCATGCTCCTCAGTTTATTAAGCTCAATGTCTAATTCCTGTTGCTCTCCTCTTTTAAAAAAATTAATATCTACTTAACTACTGGTGGTAACACATTGAACAAAGTAAAGCAGCGGTCTTAACATGGCTCTATACTAGAGCTGCCCCATGGGGCTAGGTAGGACCTGTGCTCCTATATTAAAGAAGAAAATAAAATCAATAAACAAGAAGACCAATAGCGGGAGTTGAAGTACATTCAAGATTGAGAATTCTTGTTGTGAAGGTACAGAGCCAAAAGGATCTGGAAACCTAACAAGAGCTACTGTAATTTACATTGGACACATAAGTGATTCTGTGATTAAAAACAAACAAATATTAAAGTGACCTGTTCCTTATGAATTTCAGTTGTGCAAAAATTGCGAGGTCATAATGAAAATAAGAAAGCAAACAGGAAGCCCTTTCCCTCCCCCTTGTCCTGCTTGAGTGTTCTCTACTCTCTCTTTCTCACTCTCACTTGTTCAGCTTCTGCTTGTTTCTTGAATCAGCAAAGTGTCTGTGGTCACTTATACACAGTTTTACTGTAGTTGCCACAAATGGTAGACTGAAACTTCTTTTGTTTGTACGTGCCCAAATCAAAGTGTGTATAAATTATTGACTTTATTTTCTGTAGGTAATAACTTATTCCCTTACTTATTCATTCATTCTTTCTTTTCCCCCCATTCATTTAACAAATATACATTTAAAACCAATGATGTGCCAGACCCTGTTTATGGTCTGAGAATCAAATTTGTATACCCTCCCACCCCCAATAGAATGTCCTACACTGTGGAGCTTACATTTAAGTATGTAGGACAGAAAAAGGGAGACAGGTGATTTTTAAAAAGACAAGTACTAAAATGATCAGTGTGTTCCGTAGTAACAGTGCTATGACTGCTGAAGGAAAGGCTGGAGCAGTGTGAGAAAGGTGGGATTCTGTTCAGAACACAGTGGTCAGGGAAAGTAAGTCCTCAAAGGGAAGATGACAGTTTAACAGATTGGGTTTGGTGTTCATCCTGGCAGGGATTCACTGTTTGGGTCCTGAGTTTATAACTCTGCTCCTACAAAGCCTTGGGTGGTGGTTCTCCCAGAATGGCATGTGAGCAGGTAGGGAAATTACTGCTCTCTCATTAAGTAAGTTTGGATAGCTTACATTTTTCTCTATAGATATTCATTTTATCGAGATCTTCAAAATTATTAGAATGGATTTTGTATACTATTTTTAGTTAGAAAAACTTGGTGGAAGAATTCTATTTACGATTTCTCTTTTAAAAATACTAACTCCTGGATATGTTATTTATTTATTGTTTCTGTTTTCTAATTAATCATTCATAATTTATTTTAATTCCACCTTTCTCCAGGCTAATTCTGTTACCCTTCCCTGCTTCTTGAGTTTCATTCTTATTCTCACTTTTTATTTAATAATAAAGTTTTCTTTTATTACAATGAGATTTCTTTGCATATAGCTTTGACCATACTCATAACTTAAAAAAATATTGTTGTTCAATTACAGCTTGTTTTTATTTTTTTATTATTATTCAATTACAATGCATCTTTTGATATATGATATTAGCATGGTTATTTGCTAAATATTCTGCAATTATGTTTCTGGTTTTCTCTATAGGCTAAGAATTATTTGTAATAAAATATTGAAGTTTCCCAACAGGATTTTGTTTGCTTAATTAGCTCCAGTGTTTATTTTTAGTTCAGAAATGTCAACTGTACAGATTTGAATATTACTGACATTTTCGTTACACCCTGAGTGTGCTGATAGCTTGTAAGTGTTTGATGGCTGTGTGAAAGAGTTGGTTTTTAGTTATGAAATCAACTTACTTAAAATACTATTATTTCTCCCTCTTAATCAGCCACCTCTTCTCTTTTTAATCTTTCAAATACCAAAAAAGATATAAAAAATCCTCTTACTAATAATATGATTATGTGGGATTTTAACTGTTTTTGTTTTATACACTTTGATATTATGATATTCAATATATAAAGATTCATAACTGCTCTATTTCCATATCAGTCTGTACATTTAATCATATAATAACCTTTTTTGATGAATATTATGCCTTTTCCCTTTAATTCTATTTGGTCTGATTATAATACAGTATATTAAAATATAATTTCTTAATATTAGCTTTTGTAATATATTTTTTATTGCTAAATTTTCCTTATTCTTTTGTTGTTCATGCAATTTGGAAGCTACATGTCATGATCATATATTACTAGTGGTTAACTTTAAGTTTTAAAACAACATATTTCTACTTATAATTTGCTGGTAATGTTGAAATTATAAAATATACTGAGTTTCCCATGTAGCTTATTAACTCCCTCTAGACCCAGGATTGCTCATATTCAAAGATTCTGGATGTAGAGACTATATATATATAATTTCTGTTTATATGTGTAATAATATATAATTTCATATATATAATTTCTATCTATAATGAATTGCTGTAGTTCTCTTTTTTATTTTTGCAAAGTGATGAGACTCCTTGCACTATTGTTACATTGGAATATTGTAAATACTTAAAAGGACTACTTAATCAAAATAAAACTATTCAGCAGAATTTCCAAAGGTGAGAATGAAACCAATACTATTTTATTTACTCCTTGAAATCTCTCTCTCTCTTTTTTAAATTGTTGACACTATTACATATGTCCCCCAACTCCCCCCTTTTACCTCCCCCACCCAGCCCCTCACAGGCATTCATAGGCAGTGTTGTCTGTGTCTATGGGCTATGCACTTATGCACGTATGTTCTGTGGATAACCCTATTGACTACAGCAATCATCATTGCTGGTAACTGCTCAGATGAGCATGCACATCCAACTGTCTAAGCCTACTTTGGTTCAGTAACTCCTGTTGGCAGCATGGGCCCAGTGCTACATGCAAATGGAGTAATCAAGATCAAGAAGATGCAGTTTGTTTGCAAAGGGCATAGGGTCATAGCATTTAAGGGTTGGAAAGAACTTTTATGATAAGTGTCAAAATAGACAGCATATGCTTTATGTCCTCTACAGGTGGGACTATGCATGTGTGATAACTTAGATCTCCACAGCCGTTTACTTGAACAGTGTCAATGTTCTAAAGACAGTGATTAATGGGTTGGCTTAACCATCCCCCTGACTCCAGACTGCTGCCAGAACATGGCTGGCTTTGGAGTGTCAGTTGTCATCGTATGGCTTCAATATCAAATTGAAGGTTGAAGACATATTAAAGTTGAGGGAGAGAGAAGGAAAAAAAGAAAAATAAGGAGAAGGAAACAAGAAGTGGGAAGAGTGTGTTAAGAAAAACAGTTTAAAACATGTTACTGGAAAGAAATGTCCTAAAAATCTTATAGGTTTGGAGTTTTAGTAGAGATTCTAATCAGATAGGTGACGTGCTTATTCAAATACATGTTCTAACTTGTATGACTATACTGATTTGAATGATGTTGCTTTTGTTTAAAATGTGTTTAAACTCCTCTTTTGGAATTGCCTTCACAGTCTACGTGACACTTGGTAATTTGTTAGTCCTTTGGTTAGGCTCAATAGTGGTTTAATTCATTGTTACTCTTATGTGACCTGTAGACTGTTAATGGCCTGGCAGAGATTTATAGTGACCATTTTTATTCTTTGAAAATTGGAAAGAAGGCTGATTGGCAGAATCTAAAGCAGCGATGGGCAGCTTGAGTATGTCTTTGAGCATCTCAGCAGGCAAAAGCAGCTGTTTCCTTTTGGCTCAGCATTACTTGGATTCTGCCTTTGACTCTATCCTTTCACTCTGGAGTTGAGGTCCATTCTTGTGGTTTTATTCCTCCATACCCTTATTCATTCTTAGAGTAACTACTGTTTCACTAATGTGGGTGATTTGGACAAAAGGATGTTTTGAAAACTAAGCAACTATAAAATACAAAGGAAATATTTCTTAATGAAATCATGTTTTAAAAAGTCACTTGAGAATACAATATATTCTATGGTCCTTGTTCAGTCAGAAAGTATGCACTAATATA